CGTACTTATCATATCGCGATTGACGAAGCTGATCTATCTCGCAAAGTCGCATAGAAGTGAGACGACTATGAAGAAACGCCTAATGTTGAATAACATTCGCAAAGCTGCTGTCAAAGATCCTCATGTGGACTGAAGATGATCGGATTGCTGATTTAAACACGAACGTCTAGAATCAATAAACTCTGTTGTCTAAAAGTATCCCATTCTGATGTCTAACTCATTACGACGCAAATATGCGATTATATTATACGAATCGAAATAGTTCATTCAGCAACAATTCCTTGCAAAACTTTGTTGAAATATCATACAAGGAAATTGACGTTATCCTTATTTCGTATCTATGACTTATTTGATCAGCTTAGAGAATCCATTGTGCTCTCTAAGATTGACTTACGGTCAAGGATACTACCACATCTCTGTTAAGACAGACAAACTGACGATCAAGAATCGCTACCCTTTACTATGTATTGACAATCTGTTCAGTCAAATTCAAAGGAACCTACTGGCTAGAAGCTATGGATATCTCAATCTTGTTGAATGAAGTGACGCATTGTTATGACACGATTAGTGACTTAAACATCGATATAGTCTGAATAAATATCCGTTGTCAACTCGTCAAGAATCCTAACGAAGGAATTTTTATTATTGTAGCATGAGTCAAGAAACCGCTCACGATCAAAGTAACCAAGCGCCAAGCGATGGGCACGAAAATGTTCATATTGAAGTATCTAGTTTCACACCTCCTATTCAAAGTGAACAAGTGAACTCACTACATGTTCCCCAAAATGATCAAAATATTGGAGATCAACTTGACGGTATGCTACCTACCTTAATGGTAAACTTCTTACAACAAATGACTAATGCCCCTGTGTTTCAACCACCTCCACAACAACCTCGTTTGACCACTTTCAAAACCTTGAAAGATAATGGTGCTGAGGAGTTTCTGGGAGATCGAATTGCCGAACCCCAAATTGCTCTTGAATGAATCGAGCAGAATGCTCGTGTACTACAAAATTTGAACATACCTCTCGTTGATCATCCAAAATTTGCATCTCAATTGCTCCGCAAGGAAGCCTACGAATGGTGGAAACGTACTGGCGAAAATCCAAACACACCCAAACCTTGGACTTGGGAATTCTTCGATTGGGCGTTCAAGAAGGAATATATACCAGCTCGATTCCGTGAAGAGAAACATGCTGAATTTATCAAATTAAAGCAAGGAGATATGACACTCCCTGAATACCGACAAAGATTTGTCCATCTCGCTCAATTTGCACCCACGCCAGTGAGTACAGCGGTGGACCGCATTGAGGAGTTTCGCAAAAGACTTCGACCCGACCTCAGGCCGCACGTATCTACTATTCAAACTATGGATTTCATTGAGGCATACGATCTAATCTCCAAAGCCGAAAAAGATCTAAGTGATTACTATGAAAGTCTGAAGAATAAGAATGTCAATCCAAATGAACGACCAAATTCAAATGGGAAGAGACCCCTGCAAGAAATTGATTGTGCCATTCACTCGAAAAAGGGAAAATCAATGACAATTCAATCGACGTCATCCATGAACAAAATGAGGGTTTGGAAATATCCAAAGTGTAATGTTTATAAAAGACACCATCCGGGAGATTGCTGGCTTGCACAAGGATTATGTCTAATTTGCTGGCTTGCACCCGTCAGCCCACTTTCGGCAAAATTTCGACCATCTTAAACTCACTGTTTGGTCATGGTTTCTTGACCAAAGTTGTATCCCTGCGAGTCAGTGAACCACAGCCGCAAACGGTTTGTCAATCGAACGAGTAACGAAGGCGATACGGCCGTTTTACCAAAACTGGTCCAGTGGCGACGGAAAATGCGAGGTTTGCAACTTCCACCTCGATTCTCGTTCCGTCTCATCCAATCCGCTACTCGTTGAATGCGTGCCAACTCTCCACAACCCCTATAACATATTCGCGAGAAGAAACGGAACTCAAGAAGCCGTTTGGAAGTCGGAAGGTCAGCGGTTTAATGACCGTTTATTGACACCGTTGATTCGTTCGGTCCCTTCTAACCTTGTGTCGTATTCGAGGTATGTACACCCTAGATATAACGGAGGAATCTTTAATATATTTGTATGCGAATACGTTTGTTGTTTATATGATTATTTGTATATAGATTCATATCATGATATATTCTCGATCTATTAACGTTGCGTAGAGATCAACGAGGATTCCAACCGTTATGAAATTGAATGATTATACAAGGCTAAATGGATGTTTGACTCCAATGTAAAGAATAAGGATTGTGAAATAAAAGTGGAAGAACGGTTAGATTACGAAGAATATGTTAAGGCTTGAGGAAATACCAATGAATATCACAATAGCATCACTAGATATGTAAAAATGTATAAATTTGATATGTGAATGAACAAGTTGGAAAACACCTAGACCACATTTAGACGATTACATGAACACGTAAATCCATGCCCAGATATATGTGTTGTACATGTATGAACGAATATGTATTTGTTACTTTATATGGTCTACTACTTGGCATAACCTTCGTTGAAACCGTATGATCGTAGTTTTCTCGCTATAAGGCTATATGATATGGAACTCGTTGAAAAAGAAATCATCTAGAGATCCATTTGGAATCTAGAGGAACTCAATATTTAGATATATTTGTAAATCTTACATGTTCATTATAATTTTCAAAAGGTTGAACGTAATTCGACAGACCAAAGTAGAACCCGAGTAGTGTGATAGTAGACTGTCAAAGTCTGATAATCTACTATCTGTTAGAATAAGTGACCAACGCTAGAGGGGGGTGAATAGCGTTTGATCGTAGAAATCGCAGGAATAAAAAAAACTTAAAAGAGAAGTAAAGAGAAGAGTAAGAGGCACACCGAATTTTACCCTGGTTCACCACAACTTGTGGCTAATCCAGCCTCCCGAGAGACTCTCTCGAGCTACACTACTTCCGTTAAGCTTACGGGTGCTTAACAAACCGTTACAACCTGAGAACTCGAGTCCCACGAGCCTCAACAACACTTGCTCGGAGATACTGCACTCCACGACTTCAACCCGAAGGAAAATACCTTTCCTTCGTACAACCAAGGGAAACAAGCTTCCCTTAACGTGTATACAACACTAAGACACTCAAGAATAAGGCTCTCTTTTAGAGTAGATGTTGAGTAAACTATATACGCTGAAGAACAACTCAAACTTCACAAATTGGCTCTAGAAAGCTATGAAAAATGATGTTGTTTTAATGCAATGATGATATGAGTATTGTGAAGTGAATTGATGATAAAAGCAGACCCAAACACCCCTTTTTATAGTGCCAAAATAGGCTCCAACGGACCAATGCATTAAAGGGGTGATTGGCTTGATTTA